TTATGGTGGGAGAGACTTTTTTTTTTGTACCTATGGAGAAATGGACCCTGAGAAATAAGAAATGAGTAAAAAAATGTGACAGCTAGACCCAGTCTCTTCTATTTTGTAAAGGAACTGGCAAGATACAAGATAATTGCATCCCTGTTGTAGTTCGGCTCCCCGCATTGCTCAGGCTTGGCAAAAACCCAGGACTTAGAGGTACGTCTTAGAAATGAAACAAAAGGCTGGTAAAAATGGCGGGGGGTAACACTGATGCTGGTTTTTGGCAGTATAACCTCCCTAAAGCAGCTCAAGGTACTAAATCCTCCACTTATAAAACAAAACCATGATTGAAAGGATAAACATGGTCTCGTATTATTTGGAAAAATAAAAAAATAAGATGGGAGTAAGCAAACAAACAGCATGTCCAATCTCATATGCCAACATGAGACAAATGTGAATGGAGACAAAGAGACTGGTATACAGTGACCTCTACAGGAGATTAGGAGAAGTGTGTGTGTGTGTGTGTGTGTGTGTGTGTGAGAGAGAGAGAGAGGCATTCAGAAGTACACACATCCATTTGTGTACTCTATAATTAGATTTGTAATGGGGTTTTAAAGGAAAGAACACGGAATTATTATTATTATTATTTAGAATTATTATTTAACCACATTAGAAAGAGAGAAATACACAAAAAATACAGGGAGGACAAATGAAAGGACCACTGCACCCTCATTGCAAAAAGTGATGTCTGATTTGTGAACAAATCGAATCTGATCTTTTCAATTAATTGCTTATCCATTAAAAAAGGGGTAACAAATCAGCCTGATCAGGTTCTTGAATTCAACTCACTGACTCAATTGTAGAGGTTCCAGCATTCCAGAGGTTTGGAATGACATGAGGGTGAGTGAATGATACAGAATTTTCATTTTGGGTGAACTATCACTTTAAGATTCAAATAAAGACTGATATTTTGAAAGATTCAGGAAAATACATTTTTATTTCACTTTAAAATTAATACAATTTTCTTAACTGAATATATTGTATCACAAGTTTTTTGGGGGGATAATTTGATTTGAAAATATTTTAGGAATAGTACAGGGCATCTAAAAGCCAAGAGCGTCACTCCAATGTCCAAGCCTTCTGAAAATAAGAAATATCCTTACAGACTCATTGGGGCAAGCTGGGCTAGAGGGAATCTGTCGATAACATTTCAATAAAGTGGTCCTCTGCTTTATTCCTCATGGATTTCCTGCGCTGTTGAGGTGAATGCCCTATCATACAGTGTAGATGCATAAGTCCTCATTACTTTGTCAGTAATGTAGCTGAAAACAATTGGCAGTGTTTGGGGATTTTTCTTTGTAGATTATCTTGTTTTGTCCTGAAGGCAGTAATGACTTAGAGACATAGTGTGTAAATAAGACCTCCTCTTACTCCATTTCTGTTGTCACTGTCCCACTTTTATCAGCCAAGAAAGTAACTTCAAAAAGCAATGTAAGTGGGAGAGAAGAGGGAATGAGAAATCACTATGCAAAAAGGCCTTCACTGTTGGTGCTAGCTGATTAGTGAGCAGTCAGGGGCCACGGTCAAACCAAAGTCCGCCAAAGCCTGTCTTCCTGGGGCCTGGAGAAGCACTGACTGGCAGCTGAGATTTCTGGGAGTGTGACTGACGGCCCAGTAGATGCCAGAGAGAGAGAGCAATGCGTATATGAAATGTCTCCTCAGCGACCCTGAAACACTTCTTCCGCTCAATCTCAAATGTCTGATCTACAGAGAGCTCCACAGATGGATGCTTGACTGACCAAATGGCAACATCCCTGCTGTAGTGATCCTGTCCCATTTCGACTTGCACAGCCCAAACAAACAGAGAAAAACAAACAAATAAACATAGAGGCCACAAGTACAAGATGTTCCATCATGACTGACTGCTGCCTGAGAAATGTAGGACGGACTAAGATAGTTCAGGGTTCACACGGTCATGGAAAACCTGGAAACTTCAGCGATTTAAAATAAAACCAAATGTGATTTCTAGGCCTTAACAAGACAGGGAAATTAATAAAATCTTAAATCATGACATAATTTTCTTAATCCCATTGCCATTTCTACCACCTACCACTCATTCTCTCTCTAATGCCATACTTGATAAAACTATAAAAAGCCTAGTAAAAAAGTATCAATTTAGTCATTCAAATTGAGACTTTTTTTTTTTTTTTTAAATATTCAACATGGACGCATTGATCAAAAGTGACCAAGTCTTTTACCATCTTACAAATGTAATGTATGCTGTTCTAAATAAATAAACAAATAAATGTATGTATGTACTGTATGTATCACAGTTTATATTGAAGACTGGAGTAAAATGTTGCCTGAAAATTCAGCTTTGCCATCATAGGAATAAATTAGATTTTTAAATATATTAAAATTCGAAACAGTTCTTTTAAATTGTGATAATAATTCACAATATTATTTGAAATATAAAAGCAGCCTTGGTGACGTCTTTCATAAACATCTTAATGATAACATTATTTGCTTTTGTAAGTCAAGGTAGTGTATAAAATCTTTTGAAGTTGTGGATTAGTAAAGCACATTTCTAGCACAGTGCTTTTTATTAAGCTGTATTGCTGCATGTCATCCATCTATTTGTATGGCAGAGCTTCCATTCAGAGTCCAGAGGCTCTAAAGATCCTGAGGCTGATAGGAGCTTAATAAATGGATCAAGTGACTGCTGGAGAAGGTGGTGGCTTCACTACAATCAAATTAAATCCTCGGCTATACACAGCAAATAGACATGAGTCACGCAAAAAAATGCAAACACTCATTCATTTACATAATAGAGCAGAGAACAACAGTATACCCAGAATGTTTCAACAAGTTTAAAAGTGATATTTTGGTGCTTAAATAGAAAAATGAAATTAAATCAAATATAAAAAATTAAATTGAATTAAATGGTGTGATACCTCAAGACACTAATATCAGTGTCAGGTACAGAAATAGGAACATTTATATTTTTAGAAAAATTGCTTAAAAAAATGTTAAGCTTAAACAAAGGATCGGTAAACTACATTACAGCACCTCACGCACATACACAATAAAAGCACCTGTTTGCACCAGCTTAAAAATAGTTTTGGATCAGTCATTCACAGAGAGCCCAGAGTTTCATCGACTCCTACCTCTATTGCATCAGGAACCCGAGTCCTCAGACACACGCATAGACATAGACATAGTTTCATAATACAGGGAACCTCTTAGTAAAGTAATTCTATAAAAGTGATATTATATATGACTTTTATATAACTTTTAGACCAGGCTAAATAGGTATAAAATCAATGCACAAGGCAATCAACAAATAAGCAAATGGCAAGTGTTGAACTGTGTGTGTGTGTGTGTGTGTGTGTGTGTCATTTTTTGCACATGAAGTTGTACCTCCATTCATCATCTGCATGTTGTCAACACAAACCGAAGCCCTCTCAAATATAAACAAATCTGGCCATGTAACACAGAGATAACACAAACCACTGCATCCATGTCAATAATTACAGCAGATGCAATCTCTCCCTGCGGAATAGAATGGATGAATCTGTCCAGCACTTCACACACGTGGATAGTCACAGCCCTCCACTGTGCATCCACTACAGGAGCATATTTATCACTGAACATCCTGACGGAAACCCAAAATGATGTTTATACAGTAGAAAATATAGAGCAGGGAGGCTTCAGTACATTTGATGGGTTCCACCCTCCAGAGACTTAGGCATGTCAGA